AACACTATTAGTAATAATTTGATTTTGATTTGAACTTTATTAGAGTTACTAATATTTATGGACTATGACTTTTATTGGACCATTCAAAATTCTAAGTCTCAAACTTGAAATAATATGTAAAAAAATAAAATTATCAAAAAGTGTAAGAAATATTTATAAATTATGTCAAAGTAAATACTTTTATATATAAAATAAATTTTTAAAATTGTAAATATATTGTCGGATTGGATAAAAAAATGAATCAAACCAAAAAAATTGAGTCAAACTGGAAAAAAAATTTGACTAGTAATTTGGTTTGACTTGGTTTGATATTGATAAAAAAAATCAACTATACTTGAGTTGATTTGGGTTTAACTAAAGTCAACAGGAGATCAATATAACCAACCCGACATTATATATATAGTTTAAAATTATTTTATACATAAAAGTATTTACTTTGATATAATTTCTAAATAATTCTTATACATTTCATAGTTTTTATACTTTAAAATATTATTTCAAGTTTGAGACTTAGAATTTTGAATGGTCCTATAAAGGTTATAGTGCTTAGATGTTAGTAATTCTAATAAAGCTCAAATCAAAATCAAATTAGTACTAATGTTAATAAAAAAAATCAATTCAATACTAAAAATGACAATAATGAATATTTGTTCTTTAGTTTTACCTTGGCTTAGTCAATTAAGATGTGTAACCTAATTTTAATTTATCTTTAATGTTTAGTCAAATAATTAATATTAATACTTATTAGACTTATTTTAGCATGATTTTGTACTTTTAAATTATGGCCATTTTCATTATAACTTATTAATTTGTACTATTTGTTTTATGCGATTTCATTATTATTTTTTGTTGAATATTTTAGTGTCATCAGTCATCTCATATTTTGTGTTATTTTATTTTAAAAAAACACGTTAGATAGTTGTATTTTGATAGGTCTAAAGAAATACTTGAAGCACAAGTTAATTATATGTTTGTATGAATTCTTTATCGGAAAAATCTGAAAATATAAAAAATCCAAAAAAGAAACTCTAGGTTGAAAAACTCAAATTTTATTAGTTTGATTTGGTTCATAAATTTAAAAATCCAACACAAATTATTTGTTTTGATATTTGAAAACCCCAAACTATGCAAAGATGATAATATGTTCTAAGATTTGTGCAGATATTGAGTGAACTTTTTTTTTGTTGGTTTCTCACCTAATATTCGGTATCTATATTGGAGCCCCATTAAATTTGAATTCCACCAGAAAGTCTCACAATGTGGGTAAAAGTGCTCCCTATTGGAGCTCAATTAAATTTAAATTCCACCAGAAAGTCCCACATTGGGGTTAAAAGTGCTCCCTAACAAAATGACTCGAACCTGAGACCTATTGATTAAGGAGCTACAACCCTTGTTGGGGAGATATTGTGTCCTTTGATACAACATATAGAATAAATAAAGAATATCGACCCATGTCATTATTTGTTGGTTTGAATAATCATAGAGAAGTAGTTATATTTGGCTTGAATAATCATGCATTGTCATTACAATATACAATTAACTGATAAAAGTATTGAGAATACAATTAACTAATAATGGGTGCTCCCTTGTGATAGTTTAATTTGCTACCAAGAAGATAGACTTTTAACCTTTTTTCCTTTATTTACTTTACTTTTTTTTTTAATTAATATTTTTTTAATCCAAATTCATGACCATTTGTCATAACTTAGTACGTACAAATGTTTAATCCAAGACATGCACGTGAGTTGTTGAATTTTGGTTTTTCTGTCCACATAAGTAAGCAGTGAACTGAAAAAGATTGTCCAATAACAGTTTCTATTAAACAAAAAAACTTTATGGGGTCATGTGTCAATTGTCATACTCTTTTTGTTTGATTAACCATGTGTTATGCTCAAAGACTCTTTAATTATTTATGCTTTGGCCCTACTAGTTTATTTGACTTGGAACTTAAAAATTGAGTATTTAATGAAATTATGTGGAAGTAAGAACTATGAGTATACTTGATTTTCTATTGATCACACAAGGGTTTAATATTCAATCTTGCATCTCTAGAATTATGAGTTGAGGGTTGAATCTAAGTGTAGAATTTGTTGTGTTTGACATTGTATCCCATGCTCATTGACATGAGGAAGTGAAAAGATATTATCTTGTTTCGAAAGTTGTTTATACCTTGATTATTGGATTTATGAATTCATGGAGTTGTGATGCAGTGGTGAAACTGTTTCACCCTTAACTAAAAGTCTTGGGTTCGATCCCTGGGAATCCATGGAGTTTTTGTGATAATCTTGTGGATTGTTTGTAAATCCCTTTTCTACAAGTGTGCGACTCTATTTACACAATATATTTTGCCTATAACCTATGCATATTTACTATATATGTAATTCATCTTGGAGTCTTTTAAGTCCTTTAAAAGGCTTAATATTAAACAATGGTAATATGTAGTCATATATATTTATTCCAAATAATCCATTAGCAAAGCCGATGGTCTATAGGACGCTAGCGTTTGACCATAAATTTTCAAATATTTTTGGCAAATATTATGTGTTAAAATTTGGGTGAAATTTCACCATGTGTTTGACCATAGTATTTGAGAAACATGTTTCACTTTTTTAGGAAATATGATTTATACCCATAAGTTTGTATTACAAGTCAATTGCATCTTCATTTCAACAAATAACAAGTAGTGTCCATGACACTAGAGCAATATGGTAGTTCGGAGTGAGTGCTACAAGCATCATTCCATACATCGTGAAGTAGACAAAGCACATGACTTTGTTACCCTGAGCCGATTGTTCATCATTTTCATCAATAACCATATCATCACTTTCATATTCACTAAATATTTTATCACTACTTTGGTGTTTACATAAAAAAATTATGTAATACAATGCAAACAACTAATATAGAGGGTGTTTTTGTAAAAGATGAAAGTTTGGTGTAAAATTTAAATTTTTAAAAGATCCCAAATAATGAGATTTGGCTCAAATACTAGTTTTTTTTCTAGTATTTGGAAATTTGGATTGTTTGCCAAAAATATTTGCCAAATAATGATAAATTATATGGACAAACACTATTTACCAAATTTTACGGGTCCGAAATAACAGTTCTACCTTTGTTGTTGTTGTTGTAATCCAATAGCAAATAAACTTCCTTTAAAAGTATGTTATTTTACCTTACCTTTTGCTATTGTTGTCATTGTCATTATTTTCTGTGCTTGCCTATAGTGACTTCTCTTTTTCCACATCTTGTGAGTTTGTTATTATGGAGGACAGATACATATAAAAAAGAATAATGGTATTTTATTATATGACAAAAATAGCCAGCCTAGCAATTGGTGCTAAACAACAAATGGTGCATGCACATTAAATTTCTCGTGTTCTTTTCCTTTGGAAGATATAGTGCTTCTTCCGTTTCAAAAAGAGTGTCCTAGTTTGATTTGACACGGAGTTTAAGAAAATAAAGAATTTTTTTGAATCTTGTGATTCTAAATTAAAGTTATTTCAAATGTACAAAATTGTCCTTCAATCTTGTGGCGTTGAATATGCCACGTGAAAAACTGAAATTAAAATGTTACTAAAAAAAAAAAGAGGCCGTTCTTTTTTAAATAGATTAAAAAGAAAAGTAGATCATTCTTTTTTAAATGGAGAAAGTAATATGTTTACTGGCAAACTGTCTTATCCCCTTTCTCTTTCTCAGCAAGTTGCCTCCCCTTATTCACAAAATGAGGTGCCACACCCAAGGTATTGTCCGTTTTAGCCCAGCGTTTTTGTGCCCAACGTTTAAAATTTTGGGCCTATTGTTCCCTTGGATTTTAACTCAAAAGACGTGAAAAATTTCAATATAGTAACTACATTATTTTAGCTTCGGTGATTGAAAAATAGACATTATCATAAAGTTATTATTGCTTATGTGATTGAAAATAAGTTATTGTCATGATCTAAGTTCCAAATTCTACGAGTGAAACTCGAAGACATAATAGTTGAATTTTGTTTGTTAAATGTATTACTCCATGACAATGGCTACTTATCAACTAGATGGTCAAAAGTGGTCATTGGGTGTTATTTCTACAAAGGAAGCCTTAACGGTTGAATGTTGAACTTGCGCTTATGTGACTAGCTATTACTATTGTAACCCTAACCCGCTAGTAATATTGTTCGCTTTGGGTCTAGGCCTGCATTTCTTTAAAGTGAGTCAATAAGGTCTACTTAATTACTCATATATTCAATATCTCTCTTGTGTATTATCGATGTGAAACTTCTTATCTTAAGCTGGTGTGTTACAACTACTCCGTTTGCTCACTTTTACTTGTCAACGTTTCACCAGAAATAAATTGTATGAATTTTGAGCAACATTTTAAGATGTATTTTTTAATCATATTAACCTGGGAAGAATTGCAATTTATATTATTTTCTGTGTAGTTTCCGATAATCTAAATTTAAAATGCTGAATTAATCAATTTAGCTCATAAGATTAGTAAAATTGACTCTCACGAAGAGAAACATGACAAGTAAAAGTGGAGGAAGGGAGGGAGTAACTTTCCCCTTCCATTCCGATGTGGATTTTCCTGAAGGAAAGTTTCACGATAAACACCCTTTCGAATTCAATCCCCAACGGTCTGTGTGATCAGGGGTGAATCTACCTGAACATTAGTTATGAATTCGACAAAATTCAGCAGTTTTAATCCAAACTTCATATTTTAGTAAAAAAAATTATTGATTTAACGTGTAAACATAATCTTCTTCAAACCAGTAAGTTGTTACATCATAAAATCTAAAATTCATAAACTTAAAATTCTTGATTCGCCTCTGTCCTATCATCTAGGCTATTTCCCTTTTGTTAAGGGGACCATTTATTATTTTTCTATATATCCAAGCATAGGAATCCATAGCTGTGTGTAACTCACACAAAAGCTAAAAAGTTATTAGTAAAGTGATCAGAGATACACTTCCAAACAAGAGTTCAAAAATTTATAAATTAAAGTTTCCCAAAAAAAAAAAAAAGCACTCAACTCAAAGCCTGTGATATATTACAATAAACCATATCTTCATGTGATCAACTTTCAAAAGGCACATTAAATGCCTTTGCCCAATTGCACAAAATATGCCTATATAAAACCCTATCCCTCTTCTCTTCTCATTTCACTTCCATTCTTCTATACAAAAAAATAAAAAAAATAAAAACATGAAGACTTTCACATTATTTCTCATTTTCATCCTCCTCATACAGGTAGCTAATTTTTAGTTTAATAAACACTTATATAGTATTTAATTATTTTTCATTAATTAGTTTTCCTAATCCTAAACATAATTTCTTATTTTAGGTTTTATCCAATGCTGCTGCTGAACAGGTATTATTCGTATAATATAGTATAAAGTACAGAAATCTCATATATTTGGGGGTTAATTACATCCTATCCCGAAAATTTTCCCAATTACAAAAGTTTTGGATTTTTCATTGCTCTCGAATATATTTATTGGTTGTCTGATAGACTAGTACATTGCAAATGATATATTACTTAATGGGAGGGATGTATTCGAAAGGGAATAGAGATGTATCCGAGAGGAGATTTTTTGAAATTTTTGTAAAAGGTAGGGGAATTTTAGAAATTATGGTAGCTTAAGTTGTGTATTTATGTGATTTTTTCTATAACAAATAACTCGCAAACATAATAAAGAAAGGAAAAATGCTAAAAAAATTTATATGTAACGTTACATTTTGTGTTATGCAGATAGAGGCAGGCAATGAAGGTGCTCTTCACAAAAAAATTCACCCAATTAAGAGGATACGTAAGTTGTACATTATTATTAATTTTGAGTTAAAAGTATTACTTGTCATCTCATTTCTATAGGTAAGATATACAAGGACATGTGCTAAAAAAAACTTTTAATATAGACCAAGAATCGATTTATGTGATTTAACAGGTTCAACTGAGTTCATAACTGAAATTTAGTAAGTATATGTCAAGGATGTAAGTTTGTTTATGTACACATGTGAGAGAGATAATAAATACTATTTTGAAGTGATTTTTGTCGATAATCCCTAGCTAATTTGTTGTTATAAGGCTATATAGCTAAATGAGATTAGCATGGATTGATTTTTTTTTGTTGTTTAGCTATAAAATTTTGTCTGTTACTAATTTCTTGTTTTCTAGCCGTGAAATCAAGAGAAGTTATAATATTATTTTGAATTAATTTTTACAGACTGCGGATACGCATGTGCGAGGAGATGCAAGAAGTCGTCAAGAAAGAAGGTGTGCATGAGGGCATGCAAGACATGTTGTGCAAGATGCAAGTGTGTTCCACCAGGCACTTATGGAAACAAGGAAGTTTGCCCTTGCTATGCTAGGCTTAAGACTCATGGCAACAAACCTAAGTGCCCTTAATTAATTAATATTTTTTTAAAATTAAGAAAAAGCAATGCATATTATTTATTAAATAAATGCTTAGATTTTAATTAATTTCTCTATTTTTTCTGTTTTAATTCTTGGGTGGGTGGGGAGGGGGGGGAGGTTTAGAGGGAATAAAATGAGAGAAATTGTTGCATGAGTGTATGCAAGTGTGCTTTTGAATATTTGATTATGACTCTTTTGTTTGTGAGATAAATTAATACATATAAATATATTATATATGTATTTTCTAGATAAAATTATTGATGCTCTTTTTAATTATTTTTTCCCCTTTATATCTAAATTGCTGTCTTTTGTACCTTTGTTGATATTCTTATATTCCAAATTTCATTGAGATGTAAATTATGAAAAGGAAGAATAAAAATTACTTTATTAACCACTATGTCAGCATTTATTTTAGCAAATGAAAGAGACTTCGATGGGTGGCAAATCGAGTCGAATAGTGAGTTTACTGTATTAAAAATAATTTTTAGCGGTAATTAATTAATGACAATAAATTAATTGTCGTCGCTAAATATGTTTTTTAATTAGTAGTAATTATCACTCTTTGTAAATGTCCCCAAAACTTATAGTGACATTGAATCAAATGACAATTAACTAATGTCGATAAATGCTTTAGCATTTTTTCGATTTTTTGGCTTAAAAATAGAGTGTTACGATATAAAAAAAGTAGTCGAATATATTACTTTTCAACTTGAATGACTTTTTAAATAAAACAACAAAGAATAATTAAGTAATTTGTATTGATACAAGAATAGTTTATCATCAATTAAACAAGGGAAAGGGTTTGATAAATAATCCTAAACTTTCTTATTAATTAGAGCTGATATACACCTCATTACAAAAGTGGTTCACATATATCTCTACCGGTGAAAAAGTGACTCACATAATACCATTATAAAACTGGCTCACATATACCCTTTTCATCTAATGAAAGTGAAAAAATAATTTTAATTTTTTATTTTAAAAAAAAATTCACTTAGGGATATATTTGATCTTTCTCATGCATTAATTTTTTTTGACTTCTTTGATTATCATTATTTGAGTTTCTTATTCTTATTTTTTTTTCTTTCATTCTTTCGTGTTAAAATATGGAAATAAAAAGAAAGAAGTGTGAGTGGAAAAAGAGAAAAAAAAGTAAGAAAAAAAAAAAAACAGCTATATTGTATTTTATTTTTTGTATATGTAAATAAAAAATTTGGGCATATATGATAAATTTTACAAGAAAAGTAAAAAAAAAAATAACCGTCAAAATAATAAATCCAAATTACTCATTAAACCAAAAAAAAAAAAAAAAAAAATACGTGAGAGAAGGATTACATATATCCCTACATAAAAATATTACTTTAAAATTATTTTTTCTCTTCTATTAGAGAAAAATGGTATATATGAATTATTTGTATAACATGAGAGACATAATATGAGCAACTTTTATAATAAGAACTAGATTCTTAAGGCCCGTGATACGGGCCCAATATAATCAATTATTAATCGTTATTTGACAAATATTAAAAGGTATTTCTATAGCATTCTGATCAACATTAATTAATATTGATCCTGGTAAAAAATTTAGTATTAAAAAATATCAAAAAATAACCATCAAAGAATATAGTGCATTGAATGGTGTTTCTCCTTCCTTAATTAAATATCTTAATTTTGAGTTTTGGATATGAAAAAAATTATTAATAAAGAGCTCTATTATATTTTAAAGTATAATTGATATTAGCGATGGGTAGATTCATTTTTTAAGTTGTAAAACTCTGAAGTATAATATTCAATTTATTTATTTATTACTATAAGACACAAATTTAGTAGGATTCAGAGTTAATTTGTCTGTTAGATTGGATTATATCTTATATAAAAATCATGAATCATTATGTATTATCATCTTGAAATCTATCCTATTCATTTCAATTAATCTGTCGAATTTTTCTTTATAATCTATTAAAAAGTAATGTCCCTTTTCTTTTCTTAGTTCCAACTCCACATAGCATATTTAAGATCAGAAAATTAAAAGACATTTACTATATTTCACATATTTAAAATTTAAAATCATAAGATTCAAAAATCTTCCTTAATTTCTTAAACTTAATGCCAAATCAAAATAGAACAAACACATTGAAACAGAGAGATTAATATATTTTATTTATCACTCATACATAAAAATTAGA